ATTCCAAAATTATACTAAATGGGTGATGAAATTGAAGTTGTTTACACTATCTTTGTTTCCTCTCCTTTATTCAGAATTTTTCTTTTTACTTACTAAATTCGTATTTCATATAACAATTAGTTGCTTCATTCTCCCTATGCAACTTACAGCATTGCATTTAAGGGAAACAGAAATTCTGATTTAATGTGATTAGACTGTCCAATAGAATAAATTCTGAAGGGCTTTTACTTTCTTAGTGTTTAGTTTACTTGATATTGCTGCAAATTAGGCACTGTAAAACACATGGCTTAGATTTGTCACATCCTAAAAATCTAAATTTCATAATGGTCAGATTACTGTTCAAGTGACCTTCAATGTGATATCTGCCTCCCTCTTATAGCTCTAAAGATATAATAACTCAATTACCTGATAAAATTGGCCATTCTGCACCTTTCTTTAAATGATACACTTTAATTATTATCTTAAAGAATAATATTATTATAATAATTTCCATTCCAATGTCTTTAAAAAGTAAGCATATGATAAAAAATTAGCAGTACAGAGGAGCACCAGTTGAAAAGTTTTCATCTATGTTAGTCACCTTGGGCTGCCATAACAAAATACCACACAGTGGGTGGCTTAAACAACAGAATTTTATCTTCTTACAGTTCTGGAGGCTAAAAGTCTAAGATTGAAGTGCTGTCAGATTCCGTTTCTGGTATGGGCTCTCTTTCTGGCTTGCAAATGGCCATCTTCTCACTCTGTCCTCCCATGAACTTTTCTCTGTGTGCACAAGAATGAGAGCGAGCTGTGGTGTCTCTTCTTCTTATAAGGACACCAGTCCAATGGGATTACGCCCTTACCCTTATGACTGTATTTAACATTAATTACCTCCAAAAAGGTCCTATTCCAAATACAGTTATGTTGGGGGTTAGGGCTTCAACATATGAATCTGGGAGGACTCAATTCAGCCCCTAACAGTACTCAATCCCTAGTCCCAATCCCTAGAAAACTACTTTTAGCCATTTTCTGATTTTAGTTCTTCTGGTGGTTGTTATTGTATTACTATTATATACTTAGGTACCTGTTACTCGAACTAAAGATATTTAGACAATGTATCTTTTGTCTGCACATAAGGGAGATTAGGAAATTAGTTAATTTAGCATAATCTCCTAACTTTCAGCCTTAAAATTTGGAGGCTGGTATTAATTTTAAGTTTTTCAGTTGGTCAACTTTATAACCTTAGAAAACAAACTTCTATTTCTTATTCTGTTAACTGTGGGCAGTCTTCCCTCCCTCCACACTGTGTAAGATAGGGAATTAGCTCCTTTATCATGTCCTGCTCCTCTCCCTTCCCCCTCCCCCTCCTGACTTTTGTCAGCAGTACCATTACTTTGACGTGTCAAGGCTTGTAATATTTATATTCTATTGGTAAATATGTGAGCCATATAATTTGATTTTTAAAATGTTTAGAGAATTATGACACACAAATATTATTAACTGTGAAACCAGGAGTGTGTTGCGATTCATTGAAAAGGAAATTACATCATATCTGAGGTACAACTTCGAGTAATTTTTCAGATGGGATATATAGGTAGTGTTAGAAAATGACGCTTCTGCAAATATAAAATAAACATTTTTTTCAAAGGTTTTACTCAACTTAAATGTTGATGAAGATATTAGCAAATTGTTAAAATTGGTCCAAAAAAAAGCACTTAAGAAGCTAAGTATCTATAAGCAATTTTAAGTGTTAGGTTAAAACTGCTGCGTTAGATACAAAACTGGTTAATATCCAATGGGGCCACAAACCATGCAGAAGTTAGTTGAATCTCTATCAGATCAAAATCATTTGCACAAGTTAACCTCTGTCCTTACCAAGTTGTAAAATAGCCTGAACAGTAGGAAGTCAAGCCCAATACTGCACTGAAAACACACCAAAAAAAGTTATCTTTTTGCTTATTTCCAAGTGTTGGATAATTTATCTGAAATAAGTAAACTTTCCAAGTACTTGTAATATGAACATGTTATTATTTTGCCCTTCCACTTGGATGCACATATGGCTAGGTATAGTATCCTGGATTTAAATAATTTTTCCCACAACATTGAAAGTGTTGTTCCATTGACCTCTAGTATACAATTTGTTAACTTGAATTAAAGGTCACTCTGCTCGTTAATTCTTTATAATACCTGATGTTTTTCTCTCTTGATTCGCTCTCAAACATTTTAGATCTGACATTTTATATGGACTGTTCTACACATGAGTCTTTTTCATTCACCCCCCGCCCCCTTAGTACTAAGGAGACACTGTCAATCTTTATTAGTTCAAGAAAGTTTCTTCCTTCTGTTGCTCTGGTATTATTACATTTTCTACATTTTCTCTAAAACTCCTATTAGACTTATGTTGGACTTTGAGACTAATCCTCTGTATCTTTCAACTTTTGTCAGATATTTCACGTCTTTATTTATTTGTTCATTTTAGATTTCCTCTGCTTTAACTCCTAGTCCTTCTATTAAAGCTCTTGGCTTTGGCAAAATCCCATTTAAATTTGCCAAAACTCCTCCTCATTTTTGATTATTACTTTTTAAAAAAACAACAGTAGCTTGCTATTGTTTTGGGGCCCAGTATTTTCTCAAATTTCTCTGATGTTATCAATTACAAATTTAAAAATAATACTGTGTTTCTGAACTGTCTTTTCTAGGGAAATGTTCTCTTTGTTCAATTTGGTCTTTTTTTGGGCTATTGATATGCAGTTCATCTTTCTCAAATGTCTGATAATTATTGTGGTTCACTTTTATTTTTGAATAAAGGATGAGAATGGTTAATGTCAGCTGATGGTGTAGATCTTTCTCCCCCAGGATGCCTTTCCCTGACTGGACACTGATGTTGATGCGTCTGTGTCAATGACCAGGCTTCTCTTTATGATGTGAGGGCAGGAAGGCGGCCAGTGGGCTAGGTTCCCTGCTTCCTGCCCCCTGCCCCAGACCAGGGACCTAGCCCTATCTACACTGAACATTCACTTTCTTTAAGATAAGTTTCTTGATTTCAACCTGGGGCAAACACTGAATGTGTCAGTTGTTCTAACTAAATGGAGTGCGAGGGGATGGAAGGGGCCAGGTGAGATGGACTCGCAGTTAATTACATAGTTAGCCTCTCAGTCTTGTGACCTTCAGGCTTAGGGGTCTCTTAAGACTCTGCAAGGAAGAACACATCCTTCCACAGCTACAGCCTTATCCTGTATGTTCTAGGCTGTGGCCTTCTCCACTCTAAGTTATCCACCAACTCAAGGCCAGAAACTTTCCATCTTTCAGAAAGTCATCAAAGACTTGGGTGTGTTGTTGGTACCATTTCTCCTGTTTACAATACAGTTTTGGCTTGATCCCATTTTATATTTTCTCACTGTCATTTCAGTGGAATTTGAAAAAGGAAGATTGATAGATGCCAGAACTCATCCATCACTTTGAGCTGGAACTCTATATCTTTTGAAGTAGAACGTATTGCTACCAAGTTTTTCTTGTCCCTTTAGGTATTCAGAATGAATGAGAATCACACCACTGTGTTATGATACAGTTTTTTTCTCCAAAACCTTCAAGCAGTGAGGAGTATTTGTTCTCAAACTGTTATTGTTTTTTAATTCTTATGATTCCAGTTTCATCTTCTTGCCCTCACTTTTACTTCATTGCCCCTCTCATGGTGCTGCCTTGTAATAGACTCTCTTTTTCTAATCATCTGCTTCTGATATGCAGCAGATTATCCATAGAGCAAGAGTCAAACTTTGAGGGTTTCTTGAGAGACACTCCTTTGAGCAACATGCTTAAATTTTAGGGCATGAATTTTTGTGACATCTATTGTGACTGACTTGAGGCTGTTTGTCCTCACTGATTTGGGTCTATCTTTAGATAGTTGAAATCTTTAGATAGTTGCCAGATAAAGTGAACTCTGACCAGGTCTTGTAGATTTATTATCTTCATTAGAGTACTATATAAATCCCTAGTGTCAACACCAATTGTTTTTTTTCTCTTAGATATCATTGCCTCTCAATGAATCATAATTCATTTTACCATGAGTAAATTTTTTCACATAAAGACCATTTACAACCAAGATACAATATTATACTTATTAGTAGTCAATAATTTATTTATTAATATGGATTTATTAGCCAATGTGCCAACTTTTTTCCTGTCTTTAGTTTTAACACATATAATAATAACTCTAAAGAAGCTCACAAATTACAAAAAGCAATACTTTAGGACTCAGCATAGTCATTTCATAGGAAGAAAATGTTTCAAATGCAAATTTTAGCAACAATTCTGTAGAAGTTACTTTTCTAGGACTGTTTCCAAAGCATTATTTCAACTACTCAAGATAAAACACATTATTTATCAGGATGTGGTATTTCAAAATGTTACAGATGAGAAATACATGTCAAAGGTAACACATTTGTTTAATTTCATTTGTTACAAGTGAACTGGTGGATTAGTCATGATTTTAGGTGTGTGTAATATTTCTACTAAGACATCTAATCCACGTCTCACTGATAATCAGGAATGGGTATGGCTATTGAGAGAATCCAGCTAAGTCAGGGTCACCATCTCTGGGGACCCACTGGGCCCACTTGCCCCACTCCATAGACTTAACACAAGCTTTTAATTCATGCTGTGGTTTTAATGCACAGTGTGGTTCATGAGCACTGAGAAGCAAATGCCATCTCTCTTTGGGATGAAATTAAGGGACTGTCTTGACAGATAACCTGGAGAATTCATCTATAGATAAAAATCCTGACCATATTAAGTAAGGGAGCACTGTTAGGGAATAAAGATTTTATGTCCAGTGGTCAACAAGGTTGGAAAGAGCTGGCAGTTTCAGAGAGAAGAAACCTCTCTTTAGTACTGTATTGTGGGTCAGAAAAGGCTAAGTAAAGAAACCAATCCCTGAAGACAAGTTAAATGTTTCAAGTGAACCTGCACAGTGAAGTAGTAACTCTAAATAACAAGCATTTGCAAAACCACCCTAACCTTAATTCTACTGTGTGAATATCAATCTGGTTTTGGCCTGCTAATTATAGCTGTGTAGATCTAATAATTAGATGAGTGGTTCAGAGTCAACCCAATATGGTCACTCAATAGAATTTCTGGTTCAGACATCATAACAAAAATGAAACAAAGAAAAAATTTCTTGGGTCATATGTCTAGGCTCCAAAGAGAAGGAGATGGCAGCTCTACAAGATAGGAAAAACAGATTGTGCTTCCTTATTGTTTTTCTTTCTCTTTGTCATGGCAACCTATGTTTTGAGGGAAAGGGATATACATGGGGTTTTAAAACTGGAAGAGGCCATCAAGCTCCTTCATTTCTACAGACTTTAGAAGCCCAGTAATTTGCCCAAGACCCAATAGTAAACTAGTGTCCAGCCTGCTTTATTAATCAGTGGGAGATCTAGTGTGCCCCGCTCCTAATTCCCACTTGTCACTATTTATAAGTACTTTCTAGAGTTCACATCTTTAATGCCAGAAGACTGGCCGAGAAGAGTTAATTCTTAGTTTGCTCAGCCACAACAGCTGAAATCTTGCCAGTTTTTCCAGGCAACAGTTGGGTCACATCAGGTAGATTCTTTTGCAGAGATGATTAAGTTTCAGAGTCTGAAAAAACAACTCAAATCTACACCTTCCCCCTCCTTCATGTGTCAAAATAGCTGTTCCTTGCAAGATGTTTTGCTTGACTTTTCAGTTTCTAGGGACTCAAATTCTCTTGGGTTGTATCAGGGAACATGAAGTGGAACTAAACCAACATGGGGCCAGTTTTATCTTGTGGTCACCAACCAAGTTAATAGCATTTGCCATTTGCTGAATCTTTAGTATGAAATGCCATATGAAAGTGAGAAAGCTCAATGTCAACATGGCTCAGTTGATATTTATTAAGCATTTTATACAATGTCATCACTGCACTTAGCATCCAGCAACTCTTCCAGAAAGTATACATTACTTTGATATCACCTGGGATTCAGACATGTCGGTAGCCTCTCTTCCTTCTTGGAGGCAATGATTAGGTTAATGCTAGTCCCTCTCCAGAGCTGAACACTACCTGCCTGCAGGTTGGGTCAACTGTGTGTTGTGTCAGTGGTTGGAATGCATGCTCAAGAAACCAGCCCAAGTCCCCCTACCACTTACAAAGCTGTTTGCTTATACTCTTTTGAGATTTGGTCCTGCTTATTTGGGGTTAGATGGGAGTTTTCAAGCAGTTCATAGTTGTCCTGCATGTTGGGGAGACTTTGCCCCATGTCTTGGGTAACCTTTTGGACCTGAATACCGGTGCTGTTCTTTGCAGAAATTCTCTGACCCCGGTATGCCTGAGCCTGACGTTTACAGATACCGAACTTGCTGAGCAGGATAAACACATCCCTCTGGAAGGCTTTGGTGAAAATGGCATAGAGGAATGGATTGGCACAGGAGTTAAGTGGGTAGAAGAGAACCAGCAAGATTTTGGAGTTGGTAACGGTGATGAGAGGCTTGTTCATAAGTGCTGACAGAGCATAGAATGAGATTGGGGCCATGCACATGAAGTCAGTGAAGATCAACACAGCCATCCTTTTGGCAATTTTGGTGTCTTTGTCCCCCGGGTTGTACTGGGGATTCCGGACTGTGATGTAGATCTTCACGTAACAGGAGCAGACGATGATAAAGGCAACTATGTTGAGCAACAGAACAAGGATAATATACGCCAGGGCAAGAGGAGTCTCGGTGTCCATGGGCAGGCAGATACTGACCTTAGCATAGCTGCTTATTCCCACCAAAGGGAGCAGGGCGAGCAAGAAGCAGCAAACCCAGCCCCCAACCATGATGGCGTAGGCGTGCCTGAGGCGGATCTTGCGGTCCAGGCGCATGGCGAAGGTGATGGCGTACCAGCGCTCCAGGGTGATGACTGTCAGTGTGTACACTGACAATTCGCTGGCAAAGACGGTGAAGAAACCAGCTGTGTTGCACCCAGGGCCTGTCTGCCAGTCGATGGCGTGGTTGTAGTACTCAGACTGCGTGTAGAGGTCTACGGAGGCTATGAGGAGCAGGTACATCCCCATGCAGAAATCTGCGAAGGCCAAGTTGCACATGAGAAAGCGTGGGACAGTCAGTTTGTAGTGGCTCGTGAGGAGGATGACCAGGACAAAGACATTGCCCAGGAGAGCCAGCAGACTAACAAACCACACCACGATTCTCAGGAATTTGTAGCCCATTATGTCTTCACAGGGGTTGAACTCATCCGACCTGGGGGTACACACCATGTCTTCACTGCCCCCACACACAGTGTAGTCATAATGGCTGTCAAAGGCCTGTAGGGTCTCTTCCTGGGGGTTTTTGAGCTCTTGGCCAAAACCAATGATCTCATCCTCTTGTTCTTCTAAGAAGACGTAATAATGAGAGTTGCTGTGGGTATCCTGGAACTTGGAGTTTTCCTTGTACCCAGCGCTGCCGTCACCCGGATCCTCTTCATATTCTTGTTCGAAGGGACCATTTAAAGCTTTCACAGATTTTCTCTGACGCAGGCTCCGAATACTGCTCTCATTACACATTAAAGACTCAAGGATTCTGCAAGGCAGTAGATATACGTCACCACTTGCTGAAAACCCTCTAATAGTCCCCACAACACTTAGCAAAATATGCAAACTACTTCGTATGATATACATGATCCTGTGAGATTCTACATGATCTGGTCAGGCCTGTCTCTCCTATGTCATTTCCTATAACCCTCCCCTCTCCAAGTGTGATCCACTGACATTGGTCCTTATTTCTCATCTGCAACCAGTTCAAGAAAAGCAGTGACTTAAAAAAAAAAAAAAAAAAAGTATGGATGCTAGAGCCAGTCTGCCTAGGTTAGGATCTGATTCTACTATTTACTGGCTGTTTCATCTTGGGTAGGTCTATGAACATTGGTTTATTCGTTTGTAGGATGGGATAGGGAGAGTATTTCATTTTGGATTGTTAAAGGATTAGATGAGTTTATCATTTTGAAGTTCTTATGACAGCACCTGGAACATTGTTAGTGCCATGTATATTTTGGTTACTAATATTATTCCTCTTCAGAGCTTTAGAATTCCATGTTCCCTTTGCCTGAAAAACTCATGGCTGCCTCTACTCATTATTCAGTTTTAAACTCAGATTTTCTTTCCTCAGAAGAGGCTTCCTTCGTCTTCTTTAATAAATTGCCTGAGCCTTGTGTTTATTTTCTTCACAGCACTATCTAATATCTTCTTATTTGTTTGCCTGTTTCTTTTCTGACTTCCCATTCTAGAACGTAAACAATATGCAAGAAGGCTCTTGCTGTGGATAGGACAGTGCCAGGCACATAACAGGTGCTCAATAAATATTTATTGAACAAATGAATAAATGGACACTATTGTGCAGACATGCTTATGGAAGTAAGATTTAGTGTTTCACTAGCTCTCCACACTGATATCAAAAGGGATTCTTTTTTTTTTTTTGGCCACGCCACATGGCATGCAGGATCTTAGTTCCTCCACCAGGGATCGAACCAGTGCCTACTGCAGTGGAAGCACAGAGTCTTAACCCCTGGACCACCAGGGAATTCCCCAAATGGGATTCTTTAACTGGATTTAGCTGCTGAGCAGATTCATCTATTGAGCTCTGCTTAAAATGCCCGGTGGACTGCCTATTCCAACCTGTTTGGAGGTTGACGAGAAATCTGGATCCTGCCCTCAGGGTCCACTCTAGCCTCCCACCCGTCCCTGGTCCCTTTTCTGCTCAGGGCTGGCTGACACCGTCCCCCTTATCCCACTCCTAGTTTTCTGCAGCTGTTATGCCCGCATTAGCTTTCTTTGCACAGCTGTTCAACTTTCCTGTTTGCTTCTATCCCCACAGCTAGATCCCAACTTATTTACAACTGCTAGTCTGAGTGCAGGAAGTCAACGCACAGATATTATATAGAAACCAAGAGGGAGTGAATAAGAGATAAATGAAGAACAGACACAAAAGGGGAAATGATGCAGAGTGAAACTGTAGGTGAAGACAAGATTCAGAGAGAGCATGGGAGAAAAAGAAGGCCATCCCTCTTTTGCAGCTTCACAAGCAGCCTGTTAATAAAATAATACATATTATGAGAACTTAAATTCCAGGTCATGGTGATAGGTGTTTTCTACTCAGTTTCTCATTTGCTCTTCTCAAAACCTCTGTAAATGGTAGCATTACGATCTCCCTTCACAAAGGCTCAGGGAGGTTAAGTGAGTAGGGTGGGATAACACAGCTAGGAAGTGGCAAAGCTGGGACACAAACCCAGGTGACTACAAAGCCCACACTGTAACCAGGGAGCTGTGACATTTGCAAGGCCTGAACTGACCAGGTAATCCAATTGCTTGTGTTGTTCCTAAGTTCGTCCTCATAGTTGTGGCACCTAATATGGGTTGGGTCTGGAGGCCAGAAATCATGTCGTGTAACCTCTACAAGATTCTGCATGATCTGGTTATTCCTGCCTCTCCTACATCATCACCTAAAATCCCTCCCTCCCCTGCTGTGATCCAGCGACACAGGCCTTATTTCTTATCTGCAACCACTTTCGGTCTGCAGTCACTGTGTCCCATGAACTCCATGTCTCTGACGGATGTTTCCAAATTCTTCTCCACCTGGTTTTCAAACCACAGAGCTTCTTCCTCAAACCCAGAAATTAATTCAACTTCCACCAAAGCCTTTTGTCACTTATTCCAGACACTGCCACTTACCCTCTGATTTTCTTCTGATTCTTAAAAGCACAGCAGTGGCTCGGATAAGAAAGGTCAGCCCGTGTGAGATGAAGGAAACTCAAGGAAAGTGGAAGTTTCTTTAGAGTCCAAGTGTTTCTTGCTGTCAATTCCTTCAGGTGTTCCAGGCCTTTGGATGGCAGGGCAGTAACACTGGTATGAGAGACATCCCTGGGAGGGAGAGAACAGTGATACAGAGAGATGGTGAGCAGCCAGGGCCTTCCAGTTCTTGGTCAGAAAGACAGACAGGCCTGAGATTAATGGGGACATGACACGATGCTTTCTGCTGTAGAATATGCACTCTGAGTTATTACACACAGCCACTGGTCTAAGGATGGATATTATGCTTCTAAGTTGGTATGTTGCAAGGGACTTCCATTTTTATTGTTTAGAACTCCAAGATCTATCAGTACGAATAATACATAGTTCAGCAGACATTTTGTTTTACCCATTACTATACACACAAACTCTTGGAATCAGAGATGGATGTCAATTTTACTCTGAAAAACTACATCATATAACTACTAAATGGTCTCAAGAGGCAAGAGAAATAAATTTGAACAGGCTCAGAGGGGCCTAAATTGCTCCCAGTCTCTGTGGGGGCTAGGGTTTTGGGATTGAGAAAGTGTTCATCGATATGGATCAATACCAGTATCATGAAAATCTTCTAATGACGCAGAACTTGGGAGTCATAACCAGTTACATGGTGACTTCATGACTCAGGACAATCTCGCCACAGATTCTTTAGAAGGCTCTAAATGTATTCCGGGAAAGAAAACTCCAGTATTTATATTAACAATTTGAAATGAGATTCAGATTGAGGTGGTGAGGCTGGGGACAGTGTAGACATAAGTATCAGTTACTAAAGTAGAATTAATTCATGGCTTTTAGTGTGACATTTTCTGCTCTTTTCTCAGTCCCACAGAATCCAGGTTACGCATCTTGCTCCATCATTTTTACTTGTGTTGAGTAACAGCCTGAATAAGACCATAAATATTTAAACTAACATCTCTCTTATTTTATATTTTATCAATTGAATTAAATTGACCTTCATTAAATACTCCTTTTTTTTGCAATCATATTTTTAATGTTTCATGTAATTAGTAATGACTGATTAGCAAATGAATTCCAGTATTTTCAACTTCTACTCCACATTATTGTAATTGGACTTAGCTGGGATTTACATTCTCAGGGTTCAAGGATGCTAGAACTTGCAACTTGCTTTTTATAAACAGGAAGCTTGAGTATTAACCCCATTCACTCCAGAACTGTGATTATTGGGGGGAGGGTGTCATGTTCACTATTTTGTTTTATATTTAATTTAAAAATTCCATATTTCAGCATTTCCCAAACTTGCCTGGGGGTAATAATTACCCTTGGTGCTTGTTACTGTATGATCCCCAGGTGATTTTTAACATTAAGCAAGTACATTTGGAAAACTGGCCTAAATGAATAACTTTGTGGTTAGTGAGAGAGTTGAGGAATTAAGCCCAGCTGTGAGGTAAATGAGGCTGGACTTTGCTCTCCTGCCTCATCTTCCTTTGGATGCATCTCTTTCTCTTTTAGCCGTGTGTTGTCACGGTGTGGCCATCTTTATGTCTCCGGTTTTCTGGAGGCCACTTGCGTGTCTCTTTTCTGTCAGTGAAACAAGAGAGCATCTCTTGGCTCCTTTTTACTGCTTTGCTGTCTGTTGGATACACTGATTGTGTGTATTCATCTGAAAGATGAAGTTTATCCTTCCAAGTAGTACGTTTGCATTTTAATAGATATTTCTTTTTTTTTTACCCTTCCCCCTCCCCGTATCCTCAAGTCCATTCTCTAGTAGGTCTGTGTCTTTAAATAGATATTTCTTGAGAAAACACTTTAGTAACCATTCCTGTTACTGCATGACAAAATACCCCCAAACTAAATGGCATCAAACAACAATCTTTTTATTACAAGCATAGCTTTTGTGGGCCAGGAATTTGAACAGGGCACGGAGGGGATGGTTTGTGTCTGCTCTGTGCTGTCTGGGACTCAGCCGGGAAGACTTGAAGGTTAGGACAGCTCAGTGGCTGGGGGCTGGGATTATCATCAGGCTCCTTCATATCTTCAGGTCTCTGGAGTCTTTGAACATAGATCCAGGTGCAGCAACCCCTCCAGGAACTCGTTAGCAATCTGCGGGGGAGGAATTTACTCCCTGATTTGTCTGAGTGTCTGCAATGAGCGTTTCCCAGGTAGCCTCCAGTTGGGTCCTGGTGGGGCTGAATTGGGAAGGCGTTTTTGGAAAATGTGTCTAAACTTTGTGATGGAAACATCTGTAACATAATTGGTACTTGGCATATAGTAGGTGTTCAATGTTAATGCCCTCCTTGCCACAATCTGGAGTTTAAGCTCAAGTCAGAAGCAAGGAACCAAGCAAATACAGCTCCAGCCCAGATCTTGGCTTATATAGTCAACTGCTTATTTGACATTTCCATATGGATTTTTCACAGGCATCTCCAACTTGACAGATCCATCCTAAATTTAGCTTCTAATCCCCCACCCTGACACCAACCTGCTCCTCGTCCATTTAATCTAGCAAAATACAGGGATTTGAACTCCAGAAGAGCTTGTATTTGCATCTCTAACGGAAGCTCTCTGGTTCAAGCTAACAGCATCTCTTGCTGTGGCAGTTTTCTTGTCAGCTCTTACTCCCTTTCAGTCCATTCTCCACACACCAGTAGAGGAGTCATAACATATGGGTCGAGCAAGGTCATTCTCCTGCTCAAAACCTTGCAGTGACTTCCTAATGTACATGAATAACATCTACTCTTCAAACCATGCTTGTCAAGGCCCTGCAGATCTGGCCCTTGCCTTCCTCTCCAACGTCATCTCAGGGCCATAGACTGCTTACAGCCCAAATTAGAATCTATCTGGAGCTGTCTCACTCCCCACTGGCATGAGCCACTTGATGTAGCTCTAAGTATCCACTAAGCCTACTGCTCCTAGTGCTCTGAGGTACGGCCCTCTCCTGATGTAAGGCTGCTGCACTGGTGCTACTTCAGCCCTTACAGAGTCAAGCAAGGGGAACAACGGCTTCCCCTCCAACCCCCCCTTTTAAAAAAATTTAACCTCTGTTGCGGAGGTCTACAGTTTTAATCAGACAGCTCTGAGTGTTGCAGAAAGGAAGGTAGGAGCTCCTATACTTCCCAGTGGATGTAGCACTGCCTCTCTTTTCAAAATAACTCAATGGAATGATTCTTCCCTCTAAACCTGCTGGTATTTCTTTATTTCCTGCCCACCAAGTGCCATCTTCCAGGGCTTATGTCCTTGTGGATTTTCTCTTGTCCTTGTTCAGTATTCATGCCATGAATGGTTACAGTAAAATGCAATTGAGCTAGACCCCCAATCAGATTTCAGCTCTGCTGTGTATGGGTCTACAGTGTCATGGTTCTCATATAACTACCACCTTAGTTTAGGTCTGAATTACATTTCAACTGAGTTTTGCAAAAACTGCTTGACTCGTCTCCCAGAAAGTGTCTACTAATTCTGCCTTCAGACTTAGGACAGGATGTTCTTTCTAAAACTTGGAAGGAACAAGTTTTGTTGCTTTCCAGCTTGAAACCCATGGTTCCTCCAATGTCTACAGTTCACGCTTCTCTAAGTCTCTGCCCTCTCTCCAGCGCAAGTCTCTTCCTGAATTCTGTGTTGTCTTCTTTCTTGATTTTCTCCTTCATTCCACTGGAGTACATTTTCTTCCTTCCTTCCTTCCTTCCTTCCTTCCTTCCTTCCTTCCTCTCTCTCTCTCTCTCTCTCTCTCTCTCTCTCTCTTTCTCTTTTTCT